CGACTGTATATGTACCTACAAAATACATGTAGCACTTTGGAGAACATTCATATGTGTATAAATTCAATAATCGGTTTACCGTATTAATTAGCATTCTATTGCATTGTTTTTATCAATTCAGTTATGTAATGAATAGTGTAACTATAGTCCCATCCTTTTCCCTAGTACGGCGCTGCACAATGTATTCGCGCTTTCAGCCGCACATATACGTCGGGAATTACATTTTTGATTGATTTACAGCATTAATTCCGGAGTGTTACTCGGCTGATTCACGCGCGTTCACGAAAAATTTGTTGCGGCGATTTTCAGGTAGATACCGCCGCGTTATTCGTGCAGATTAACAGAAAAATTGTTTCCGCTTATTTTTATTCCGCCTCGTTTGTCAAAGTCGCGTATTTTTTATTATCCGTGGCGCGTCGCGCGCGCGCGCGCCGATATTACTCTAAATACATGTAGCACTTTGGCGAACAAATAATCTCCATATCGTCGGAAATGTATTTTTCTTGACGGGCCTGGCAAACGCGGTGCCGCGTACGTTCGGAATTCGCGGCCGCGACGACCATTCGTCCTGCAATCGCGTCGAGTGCGAAAGACGATTGCTCTCCAAAGGCCCAATCGCGCGCGACAAAGTGAAGTCAGACGGACGCGTATTTCCGCGCTCCCTGGCAATTCGGGCACGACACACAAATTACGAGCCATTCGTTCGATTACCCACCTCCTCGGGGGTAAGCTCACCCCCCCACGGAGAGCCTTTTTCCCGCCCGTGAGTGCACCCGCGCGGTGCAGCGCGCAAATCGCGTAAGCCACCGCGCCGCGGCCCGTGGGTCGGGGGTGCGGGCTGGAAGCGCAAAGATATGCACCCTCGCGAGCTCGCTATGAAATAATCATATGGTTAGCTAATGGCGGCCTCCGGGGTAGCAGCATATACGGCCAGCCGCGCTCTTACCGCCCATCCTCTCTTCCGCTCCTCTCCCCCCGCCCGCGTCACCGCCGCGGATGCGTGCAGGGGCGGGACGAGAGGATAATAAATAAATTCGATATATTTGCCTCGAGACTGTCCCCCTCCCGCAAACATTCAATGATAGATCGCAATCTCGGGCCGACGGGGGTGACGCACCCCCCGAGGCGGACGTGCGTGAAGATCGGGACACGGGATCTTCCTGGTTGGCGCGAATCGCTTCGGTACCCTCCCGGTACGCGTGCGGCGGACTGAATGACAGATTGAGGAGTACATATGTATATGTATTCTAAATACGGTTCGATCGTCTTTCGCCCGAATGAATCGCTAATTGAAGACTAATAGCAAAATCTAATCTCGCGCTCCGCCCTTAGACACAACCGATTCGCGTCAGCGCAGAGATTGAAAGAAATGACGTCGGGAAAATCCGCTCCGTTAGTACTCGAGCCGAAAAAGAATGTTTCGCTACCGACCCGAGTCGAAATTTCGGCCCTATGTTGAACCTTTAATTCTATTATATAGTAAGATCTAAGACAGTAAAAGAGGCCGAACTGCAAGTACAAAATTTACTTTTACTTTAAAACTGATAGTGTCGGAAATTTTTACTTTTGCCAATTTAGCATTGAAGTCGGACCTTTTAAGTAGGAGCCGAAGTACATTTTTAGCATTAAAGATTCAAGGGAGGAGTAAAAAAAATATAATGTCATTAAAGTAGGTTATTGCTGGTCTATGTAGGTGAAAATTAGCCCTAAGTGTCAAAATAGTACCAAAATTTCGACTCGGGGTAGCTAATCGTAGTTTGCTAAAAATATTTTGCTGTCGCAGCTATGAGCTTCTAAACCACAGCAAACGATTCACCGTCGCAGTGATACAATAGGCACAGTAGTAAAATATTAACTGTCCATATTTTACAACTGAAATTTAGTTACCACAGGCAGTTTTTAGCTGCGGCAGCTACAGCTTTTTCCCGGAGTCGGTCCGAAGCATCGGCTTGAGAGTTTGGCGAGTGAATAACCAAAACTCCTCTTCAATTTATAATTCGAAACGGAGCAACGAGTTCGTGATTTAATTACGGAAGTCGAGAGGGAAACCGCTGACCAAAAACTTGTACACCAATGCCCACTGGGCATCACTTTATCTGATTATCTTATTTTATCTTATTAAATCTTTATAATGTCTCAGCAAGGCCTAATGCCCAAACTAATGCCCAGTAATGCCGCAAATCTGTACACCACAATGCTCTCAGCGGTTTCCCCCTTGACGGAAGTATTTAAAATTTCATGAGAAAAGAAGAATATTCTTCTTTTGAAAATATGTTTAGTTTTAACGTGAAAATCTTGCGTTGAAGGAAGAAAAACTTAAGCTGCTCCGACACTTACGGGTTTTCTGTGGAGAGAGCGTCAGTAAAACAATGACCCCCACCTCTCGGCGTTTGCGTCGAGGAAGAGCCATCGCCAAATTGACCGGACTGTAATTGCGGGACCGATTCCGGGACACCCTCTCGATCGACGTACTCCGTCGCGATTACATGATTATGAAAGTATGATTCAATGTTTCGGGGCCGCGAATGAATAGCATCACCCGGATCGGAAGGATTTATCCCTGCTACGGGTTAAAGGATTAAGCGATTCGGCGCAGTGACTTTCACGGAATGTAATCCCGGGCTACCGTATAGATCGAGGCGGAAGCGGGAAAATTATTGCGTTCGAAGACGCCGGTGTGCCCCTAGTCGCATCCCCAACTGTCGCCCGTGTTGTTGCGGATTAAGGGCGCGGTGGGGCCCTCGGCGTGTAATCGCGCGAGCACGCAGCCTGGGCGAGGACTGTAGCCTGTCGGGCAAGTCCGTGCCGGCGCGATCATTTCGCTGCATTTTATCAGCGAATTATACCCGAGCCCCGTCTCGCACCGTTCGGCGTCGCGCGTCATCGGCGGGCGACTCGCGCTCGATCCATTGTCGCAGCTCTTGGCCCCGGACAGGCTTAACGGACTCTCCGAGCGTCCGTCGCGCTTATTGGGGGAACGAGCGCGGGACAAGAGGAGAAAAAGAAATCGTCTCTCCACGGATGGCGACGCGACTCGGCAAACCGGATCCCGCGTTTCGTCTCGTGTCGACGAAACGAGCGGACTGTTAAAAATGCTTCTTCTGGAATTTCCCGTCGCTCTTTCGGAATTGGGAACGCCACGTTCCGAAGAACGCGGCGCTACCACGCCAACCCTTTTCTTGCGCCACGATCGGCGAGGCTAGCGCGGCGGGATTAGGTCGCAGTTAGTTATGATTAGACGCGACAGTTGGCCTTCCACGGACGCGGCACCGAAGGGCGGCGCACCCTCTCTCTCTTTCTCTTTCATCGTGTATTATATATTCTACACTCCACTACTCATTGACGCGCGGGCCCCGAGTTGGTGCGCGTTTCTGCCGAAGAGGGTCGAAGGGGGCGGCGATAATACGCGCTGACAGGCACGCACCCCCTCGGGCTTGCGCGGCCGCGGAAGGGGATGCTGCCTGACGAGAGAAAGAAAAACGTATACGCACAACAACCCGATAGAATGAGCATCGCGTGCGCCGCTCGTTCGCAATCCTCCCCTCAGTCCCCTTCGCCCTTCTCGCGCTCTGACCGCTCCTTCACCCTCTTGCTCGTCTCTCCTTCTCTCGGAATTACGCACTGATGTTATAATCCTCTCGTGTTACGCCGTCGCACATGCTGTCCTGTAAGCAATACATTGTTTTTTTTTATCCGGTTTCATCTCCCCCCCTGGCGCCCATATGCACACTTCGCTGCCGTATGATCGCTCGGTGATCGACGAGCGCCGATTGCACAAGTACCCAAGTGAGATCCTTCGTCGGCCCAGGGGTCGACGGCCCGTTTGAATATCGGATTGTTCGGCTCTCCGTTTCGGACAGGTGTTACCGCGCTTTCGCGTGTCGACAAGACGCGTTTGTATTGTCTTGCACCGCTGCGACAATGCTCTTTAAAGTCCTCACAGCAGCACCATAGTGTAACCATGGTATAACTAGTATACCCACTCCGTCATTTGTTTTGTTGTGCGTCGATCCTTTCTGCGCATCCGCCATTATTTTGGTGAAGCCAATGAGACGGATGTTGTATGTACATGTCGTGGTGTGACAGTGTGACAGGATTTTATACCAAAACCTGTCACACATGGCGGAATACCACGTGATCGAAACCGAAAAGATCAAAGGACCGACAGAGTGTGGGTATACTAGTTATACGATGGTATAGTAGGCTCACGCGTCACTTGCTTCGTTTTGCGTCGATCCCGTCTGCGCATCCGACATTTTGTTGGTCCAATCAATGAGAGAAAAGTCGTATGTGCGGTAGTGTAGTTTGATGAGTACGCACTACAGACTTCTATGTGCTACTAGACTGCTACCTTCGAGCTGCAAGGTGCGGCCAGCGTTCCGCCATGTCTTGTTAGGTAAATGAAGTGGTACGTGCGCATGGGTGTGTCACTGACATCTGTCTAATAAGACACTTAACTAATAAGACATGACGGAACTCTTGCCTTATTGCCTCGAGGTCTCGTCGCTGCCAGGCAGGAATATTCTTAAATTGTCTTGATTGAATACATCGTTATTAGCGTAACGTCGTTCTTTTTGATTATATTTTTTACATCGATTGCGCTACTAAAATCACTGAATCGCGGGTGAGCTTCGCGGTCCAGTCTCCAGCCAGAGGATTAAAGGCCTGTGTCCACGATGCCTAGAACTTGGTCCAAATTCTAGTTTCGAGAAATGTGTGGCCAATCAACTTGCAGCTATTCCATAAAAGCACATTTCTCGGAACTAGAACTTGAACCGAGTTCCAGCATCGTGGACACAGGTCTTAAGATAACAATGCCTTTCGAGTCAAGTAACAACGCAGAAATTTGTAAATTTTAATCGGGGACTTCTCGAGCGCGGGTGATCCTCCTTGGCCCGTGGCTCCAGGGGTATCGAAAACGTCGAGAAAGAAGAAGCGCGGTTACGCCGGTCCGCGCGAGAGCTTATTATAATACGCGTCTCGATTCTTTTGTGCTTCAGATATCTGGTAGCCGGCGGCTTAGTGGATCGCGTGTCACGCCACAGTCGGGCCCTGATCGAGACGGATTTCTTTCTGGATCAGGAGCATGAGTCGCCGTTGCTGGTATCGTCTTACGATCTTCTCGCGCGTATCTGCAGCCATCTGAGGAGGTCCGTCGATCAAGATACTGTCAGCGTGCACGGCGAGGGCGGCGGCGTTGAGCAAACGAGCAACGAGTCGCACTTGCTGTCGACCTTGTCGACGACCGAGGCGTCGAGCGCAATCGGCACTCTTTACGCGGCGGTCGCGTACACGCCGCAGAACCAGAAGGGTGCTTCGCCCACCCCCAATCAGACGTTCACCACCGCCGTGCGGACCCTGGCCAGCCGCGGCCTCAAGCTCCTTAAATCGATCGCGGAACTCGATCTCCGAACGCTACAGGTACGTAATTTTATCTTGCCGCTGTTGCAGTCCCGGCGAAAATTTCCAAGTAATAAATTAAACGATCCCGCATTTCTATACTTATTCTATCTTTCGATATTAATTTTTTATATAGAGGAAAGTTCTCTATTATGAGACAGGATTCTAATATGAGATAGGTTTTTTAATGTCCAAATTCGATCACAAATCTTTTTTCGCAACGATTACACGATCTAACAATCAATGTTCCATCAAACAGATTTCACTGCAAGGGCAATAAATTCATAGTGAAACATATGATGCCTTAATTAATGTAGTAGAAACCCCGCTATCTCGTATTAGGAGCCTATGCCATAATAGATTCCAAGACGAAAGTGCACGTTGCGAGCAAAACTTATTGTTAGCTACTAAACGTACGGCTCGATGTGATATTTATAGCTCGTGATTATAGCTAATGATCATCTTAAAAGGATTAATACAGTTTTGAATCGCGCACGCTATTACCGTGCTCAGTTCTCCGGAATTATCATACCTCTGATTTTCATCGTCAAACGCGATGTCGCGTAGTTCGTCCGGCGAATTATTCCTCTTCAATTTCGGTACTTTTCCCAGACGATTCCCGCTAAATGCGGCTGTTTAATTTCGCAGTTTACTCGCCCAATACGAGGACCGTATCCAGTGTGTAAATATGGAGCCGACGTCACACAGCTACGCTTTCGTATTTAATTACGCGATAAAAATACGCCAGCAAACGTACGCACGGCGTCGGTCCGCCCTATTTTAGGGGGCGACTCTCGAATCTCGATCTCCGCGGTCTAACGAGCGACAGCTGGAATGCTCTATCATCCATTAGAACACCGTAAGCTCCATTACTCTTTAATTCGCGACGGTTTTCGCGATTCGGCATTTACCGCGGGCCACCCCCGGCTCTCCGAATGACAACGATGCCGCTTGTTGCCGCCAACAATGCGGCTTATCGTCGGGGGGCGCCGGGCGTGATGGAGATATCATGTATCGCGGGTGGGTTCGGCCTGTCAAGACGCAAAGGCCTCCCGTGACGCTCTCTCGCAGCGAGCCGACCGCGAATTGAATCGAGGCGGCCGCGCCTCGCGCCCTTCGCCCCGCAAAAAACCATAAGGGCTATCGTGTGCCCCGCGGGAGGGCCGTGCCCCCCCGTCTCCCACGGGAGAGCGCCCGCCGATTACCCCGGACGAGCCCCGCGTGCATTTGCCGAAAAACCGACGGTTATTATCCAGTCTCTTTGCGCCTCGCGGTTTCTCCACGGCAAACAAAGCCCAACGTTCCGCTCGCCGGCCGATAATGCCCGCCTTAGATTTCAGTGGACTTTCAGCTCACTCGTCTTGCGGGGAAAATCGGTAATTCAGGGTGAAAGAAGAGAGAGAGAGCGCGGAATTATATCAATACCATTAAGTGCCGTTAAGCACGTTGCCTCTACATCGAATTTATGCGCGAGCCGATAGAACCGTTATAGGAGCTCGAGCGAAAGGAGTTTGTGAAAATGTTAATTGGCGGACGCAACTTTTTTTTCGGTACACGGAGAATGTGCGCGTTCTGTTGCAGAGCTTCCTGGGCGCCGAGGGCACGAGCCTGCAGTGGCGGCTGATAGCGAGCCACCTGATAACCCGACTGTCCCGCGACTCTTTGTCGGACAAGTCGGAGGGATCCATGCCGAATGCAAGCGGTATCCACATTCTCTCGGAGCTGTTTGCGGTGCTCGGCTACTTCGCCCTCAACAATCCGGACAATCAGGTACGTTCCGTTCCCATATGGCGGCCCGTGCGATCGAACACCTCAGAATTTGTAAGGGCCTTTCCAGCTAGTTAAGCGCGTTGTGCGCTCGCTTGCGTAAGACTCGAATTTGCTGTAGTATCTTCTTTAAAGGCCTGTGTCCACGGTGCTAGAACTTGGTCCAAGACATGTGTAGCCAATCAACTTGCAGCCTTCATGGAATAGCTGCAAGTCGATTGACTACACATTTCTCGAAACTAGAACTAGAACCAAGCTTAATCCGCCTAATCGTTACAAACGTCCTTTTGATCTTAAAAATCGAATCTTCATCTCGGTCCTCCGCGAGATCGGAAAAAAGCTGAAGATTCCTCCCTTAATTCGGAACTCGTTAATTTTGTTATCCTTTTTACGCGCGACAAAGCTGCGACGCGTTAAAACCTTTGCCCACCTCGAAAATATTACCCGCGGATGTTCGTCATCAGCTTCGACGAAAGTGTACTTTGTCGATGATATCTGTTCGCTTTCGACCGCCCTAACAACACATAATATCATTCGAATGTTCGATGCTTTACAGACTGAGAATATACCTAATATACCGAGAGCATCGTATAATATCCCACATTTTTGTGATACCCGCCAGACATTCTCAGACTGTACATGTGCTCTGTTAGGGTGTACGTACCGTGCGCCGTTTTAAATTCCTCGAATCGGTGTCGAGACTGTTGACCGCAAGTGTCTCGAGTCACCCGGTACGTTCGGCGAGAAATGCACGCGCTGAATGGCGTACAGCGTGTTACTGGCGAGAAGAAGGAAGAGGCTGTTAGACACAACACACTCAGCGGACTTCCCATCAATATACGGCCGAACGCCGTTAAGATATATTTATGGCGTACCGTTCCGTATGCTCCGGGGCACGCGCGCGCGCGTGCAACTTCGGTCGTATCAGCTCGCAAAACCGCGTGGACATTCATAACATGTATAATTGCGATGCGGGAAATGGAGGAGTCTCCGAGAGCAAAATTGTAGTATCCGACTTCTTGTCTCTTTAAAGGCCTGTGTCCACGGTGCTGGAACTTGGTCCAAGAGATGTGTAGCCAAAATTGATGACCGTGTCTTAAGGGGGTAAAACGGGGAGGATTGAAACACCAAAGTTGCGAAATACGGAAAAGTTCTTAACAATTGAGGGACTAAGAAGTAACAAGGTCTTCTTATTTCGAAGTAGTAGTAGATACTGGAACGTGTCTATCCCGTATCTGTAGTAAATACGTTTAAATAGCTAATAATACATTTTAGAGAGTCGTCCCTCTCAGTTATTTATTAACCCTACGTTACGTGCGTGGATTTTAATGTAATTACTCGTGTGGAATGTAATATTTTACTCTCCAACATTATATCTGCTCAATGTTCATTGTTCTCTTAATAATTTTCTTTCTAAAAGTCAATCGGTGCATTATCACCGAAAACTGTTGTAAGTATAGCACTCAATAATTCAGTGCTATACTTCTAATTGTGAATATTCACTGTTTTCAGTGATAATCCACTGATTGACTTTTAGGCCCGGGTTTTCATCTTCTGGTTAACTTCACCAGTGGTTAGTCGACTCTCCATCCTTTTCTATCTTATTATCTAAGAAGCGACAGGTGACCGACGATCTTCTGGTTAACATTTAACCAGAAAATGAAAAATCGGGCCTTAGAGAGTGAACGGAGGGCATATTCTATTGCATTAATTTTATTATGTACTCGGGTAATATAAAATTTATGGATTGATGGATTTTTAGCATCCATTTATAATATATGTTGCAACTTTTCCTGTCGCGGATTGTTACAAAGTGGTTATTTATAAACGAAACAATTAATACATCACAATCTCAATCAACAAGTACCTTTCTCAAATGGAACTGCGACATATGCGGTATTCCAAAATGGGAAGCGTTCGATATGAAATATTATTAACCATCAAGATTTAATTCTGGAATATTAACTTGCAGAGTATTATTAACGCGAAAATTGTTTAAGACAGCTCTCGCGAGCACCTCTCGCGACCAGGTTTAGCGTTCCCGAAGTTAACGAGATTTCCCAATTTAAGGATGCTCCTCGCGAAGTTGCTACGGTTTAACGCCGTCTCTCGCACGTTGTCCCAGACCGAATCTGCGTCCACGTTGATCACGCGGGCGCGTAAATCGGAATGTAAACTGCTGAGTGCACCGCCGATGTGTCGCGCATTCGTCTTTCAGCGCTTTTTTAAGGTCGCCGGCTCTGAAGAGCAAGAGCCGACCCTCCGAGAGTAGCTGCCTCGGGAAAATCGTTTTCCGCGGGACGGAGAGGAAGAAAGGAGGCGAGAGAAAGAGGGAGAGAGCGCGTGTCTGTGTGTGCGCGTGCGCACGTGTATGTGTGCCATGTATAAAACAGAAAGATAGAAAGGGAGAAACGAGACGCTTTTAAGCTTCTACGAGCATCTGCGGCAACCCAGGGTTATCGCCAAGCCTGGCACGACGGTATCACCTCCGCCCGCGATCATAAACACGTCCATCTCCGTTTTTTGCCGACGGTCGTAACCGAATTCGAGAAATGGATTTTTTTGCGGTGGCGCCGCGGCGCGTTCCGCTTATTTATTTTAAACCCGGGCCCGGTGTTAACTAGCCGCCCCCCTGAGGTCACGCGCGTGCCGCGATATATTGTTTGTTTTTTTTGACAATCGATATTGAAAGCGTCGCTTACTTTACTGTGCCAGTACCATGCAATTAAATAGCGTCAATCTGCTTTTTTACATGTGACACCCAGAAAGATTAACGTTTGTAATCTCGATTTAAGAGAATCCCTCAGCCATCTTTTTTACCGACACAGTCAAATATATAATAGTTTTTGCGCATGTAATTCCTCTTTTATTGGCTTTTATGCACAAAACAATACCAGGATAAGTTGTGCGGACAGCAGAACATTTTTATACTTAAAACATTCAGTTCAGAAATCTAATTAAAAAAATATTGGTATTTGAAATTTTCACTTCGTAGTTCTCGTTAAATTTGAAATTGGCTTTATAAAATTGCAAAATTGATGAAGACAAAACCAGGGACAGTCGACTTTATATAAAAGAAAAACGAAGAGAAATAAAAAATATATATAACTTTATAAGTGATTGAGGTTATGAAGCGCAAAAACTGTATTTGACTGTGCCGATAAAAAAGATGGCTGAGGGATTCCAACATTAACGAAAGACTAGCCTTTCGTTCTTTCAGTTGGCTCTTCTGCGGTTTGTTTTCTATTTTCGCCGACCGATATGCGTGGTACTTAGGAATTCCCTGAGATCGTACGAGAATCTTGCTTTAATAACTCGAAGCGCGTCGAGCTTTTCGTTGAATCGACGAGGCGCCTCATCGTCGCATTTAATGATGACTCGTATGACGCGGGTTTTCGCCTCGGGGCTACTTTTATATGGGGCGGTTTTCCCTAGTGGTCTTAATTATTCGAAGCTTCGCAACTTCGAATTTTTCGAAGTTTGCAAATTTTTTGAAAAACTTCGAAGAAAAATCCCAGCTCTAGTTTTCACGATGAAGTCTATTCCCGTGATAAGGAGAACCCGCGTTCCTCGCGAAGCGACTGATTTCGTCGCGCATCAATCATTACCGAGTTACGTTACGTTATGTTGCGCACGGAGTTATGGCAACCGTAACGGACGGACCGATACTTAATGCGTACGAGCGCGATACGGGCCGCCTTGGGGGGACGGGGATGCGCAAATGTGGGCATTTCCTGCAAGACTTTTGTGCAGGTGCACAGGAATACGAACGTCCTGTTCACAGAGGCACTTGTCATAAGACGCAGATGTTCGGCGCGATCCTCTCGCGCTAAAGCCTCTCTCGCTTCCGTGACACCTGGGTCACCCAAGTTTCTCACGCTCTTTAAGAAAATTACCCCGGCCGCTTTAATTAACCGTCCGCGTCGCAATTGAGAAACTCCGAACGTGCGCTGCGGGTAATTTGCAATTACAAGAGGAGAATCTTCGTCCGGTATATCGATCTCCGTCTACCCGCTCTGACAGATTCCGCCCGTGAAAAGCGATTCCCCGGAGAAACCTCCGAGCGAAATAATTTAATACTTTGTCGGCGGGACAGCATACGCTTTATATAGATATGACGGATAAAAAAATATTGAATTTTTATCCGTTTCTTTTCCAACGTCCATTGTTTTTCCGCGTGCTCTCAGAAAGTCAATCAGTGAATTATCGCAACAGTGAAAACGGTGAACAGTCGCTGATTTACAGTTATAAGTGTACTACTGAAAATCGCAGTGGTACATTTATAACTGTGAATCAGTGAGTGTTCACTGTTTTCAGTGATAATCCACTGATAGTCTGTCAGAGAGTAGATCGATTATTATTTATATCTGTCGATATCTGTTGTAAAACTCCCGTTTGCGTTTTTCTTTTTAAAGTTTACGGTGCTACATTCTTTATAAAATATAAAAATTACAACGGTTTTTAAAAGCGTTTTCATTTGCGCGCGTGGCTGAATGTGCTCGCTGCTGGCCGAAGTATCGCCGTATCTTCCCTCATCGGCGAAGAATCAAGAATTTGTGTTCAGATCGCAGTGGCTCGCGTACGAGAAGTCGGGGAAAACAATCACGGAAACGATAGCTCGCGGTAGCGTGGCGACAGTTTCCTCTTCGGCAACTCTCCCAGGCCGTTTATCGCGCCCGGCCTCTCTCTTCGCGGATATCGCGGAATTGTCGGAGAAACTGAGGCAAATGTAATTTGAACGTTGAAGAATAATAACGTTCGTCATCGGGAAATCTGTTCCAGCTGGTGCTCCAATCGGCTGGCGCGGGCCCCAGCGTCCTCCAGCAGCTGTGTACCCTGCCGTTCCCGTTTTACGGAGATCCCAGATTGATACCGTACACGTTGCCGGCCCTTTTGGCTGCCACCCACGGCAATTCCGAGGCGATGGCGATATTGTCCTGCGAAATGTCGTACGAGGTAAGTGGATCATGGACGGCAACCCTCTGTCCTGCGCCTCATAATTTTCGTATCGACACACACCTCATTGCGCTATCGTCACAAGTATGCACGATTCGTTGGTGAAAAAAAAAATGCGGTGCTCGCATTTCTCTGCGGTTGATTATACCTCATACGTGAATCGGCGAGACGTATCAGCGCCGATTACCGGCAACCACACTTAACCTGTTAATATACATGTTAATACGCGAATGAATATTCATAACTTTAACGTGTAAATAATAAAGTTGATTCTGCAGCGCGCGATTTGATCGATCCTTCGCGTGTGCTGCAAAACATTATGAGGCTTTTCGACGTTTTAAGAATTTTCCTTATTCGATAACTACAGTTATCTTATGTTGGCTGCGCTGATAGACAATGCAATTTGTATGCTTTGATCTTCACTCACGGTCTGCTTTGACTCGCAATTAATTTTCATAGTTCACGATTGCAGAATTATAATAATTCATTCCTCCCTAACGAACGTTTGTTTCCCAATCCCATTACACTGTTCGACAAAGTATGTTTTTTTTGTTTTTTCGAGAACGAGGGTAATCACTTTCTGTAGGTTCTCGGGTGTCGATCTATCACGTCACGATTTTGAGAAATCTGCGAAAGAGAATTATTTTTGCGTATTTTGGTATCTAATATAACTACACGGAGAGAATTTTCTCTCAAAGTTCATCCTGAAAATCATGCGATCGTGGGACAACGTGGCATTTTGAAGGACCTTATGAGAGTTTTTCGAAATCTTATCATACATTTTACTAGTATTACACTACTAGTGAAATGTATGGTAGCATTTCAAAAACTCATAAAATTCTTCGAAATTCCGCGTTAAACCTTCTCGCCTATTTACTTTACTGAATAAAGTAGGAACGGTACACTAGCAGCGCGACTCCAGAGCGATGCGTGGTATCTCACTCGATGGTTTGGTAGACCATCGTATGGATACAGAGTGGCCGCATCCTCGAAGACCCCTCCAGTAAATAAACAAATTCCCCACCGTTACCTTGAATAACAGGTTGTCCTCGGAGTGGACGAATGCGAAACGAGCACGGCCTCCATAATATACGATTACATAATTTTCAGGATAAATTTTAAAAGAAAATCCTCCCCGTGCACGGTATATAATTTATGGAAAAAAATTCGTTACACTCAGAGTTAAGTACATTGTTGGTTACTTTGTCGCTCTTCGTTCTTGGGCATTTTTTTTAATTGTTTAATAACATCACTAATTAGTATTAGACATTGCACTGTATATAATAACGTTTAATAAGTAAATTTGCCGATTGGCTTTGCAGTTGCTGAAGCAGTACAGAAATTCGGACGAAGGTAAATTAAATCCTTTGGTGCGTTTGCTGAAGGATAACGCCTAGTCGTTGGCCACGTTTCGTGCGTTTCCACTGAAGGTTTGACTAGTTTACTTCCGTTTCTTAGAGCCCGCCAGGCATTATTAGGCGGTGCGCGCGTATCATTAATGGAATCGTTGATGGATCGTTATAGCAAATAATCGCTTCTCCAACGAGGCGTGGGGAAAATAAAGATGAGAGATTGCATCGGATGCAATTCGTAGCCGTTTGTGGCTGATTATCGCGCGATCGGAGATTGAATCTCGATAACGGTAATCCCTTGCCAAGTGAACGTACGCGCAACGTCTCTCTTCCCGGGAATGAAAGTCAATTTGAGAGTTAAATTTACTCAGAAGTAACGCGAACAGGACGAAGGTATGTGTACTTTAATTTAGACCAGTGCTTCCCGAACCATTTCGGTCGCCTATTTACGTCTGCGACATACTGATGGAACACGCATGCATATTCTGCTTTACAGGCTCGCGGTATGCGTCGTTTCGCGTCTACAAAGTAGACGCTGTCACTGGATTTTTCAGCTATAAAGTTTTTTTTCCTTTCGCAACAACCGATTGTCTTAATCGCGCAGTACGTTTCCCTGCAAAGTCGGGCGGGTTACAGAATTGTTCGGGACGCGTTTCGGGAAGTACTAATTCAAGGAGCGACGCTCGTGTCGAGATGTCAAGCTGAAAAGGAGAGAATACACGCGCGCGTTAACCAATTCCGCAGCGGAGAACGATTTCCGAATAATCGTTGAGCTGAGGGAACCCTCGTTGCTTTGTTTTAACGTAACCGCACGCGGAATAATTTATTTCCGCGCATCAGTAGCGACTTACGGTCGAAGTTACCTGTCGCCTCGCCGAACGAACGACGACGGTAAACATCACGACGATCGCTCCCCGGTACCTCAGGCTAGACTAAGTAGGTACTCGGCCGAAGTTATCGCAATGCACTCGCAGGTCTCGAATAATATATTTTTATGTTACGTTCGGTAAGTTAGAAGATGCAGGCTTTCCTTAATTTCAATTTTTTTCCCCCCAATATGAAGGAAAGCGATGCGCGCAGGCACTATCGTTCTAGACTGTAGGATGGTCTCGTTAGACAGAGGCTTCCGTCGAACTGTGAGGGCGTAACGAGAGCGCAGGAGGATACGCGACGGCGAGAGGTAATCGAGCGAGACGCGCGGACTACATCCGCGAATCTAGTCCTTTTAACATTAGCGGATCTTTATACATGCAATCATCGCTGTGCATCTCGTACTTTTTATCTACCGTCCGTTTCCACGCGTGCCAATCTGTCGTGCAAAGAATGTGTCTTCAAATGGGCCTTTTTGATATAGTTATCGTCGCGTGGCACGGCCCGATAGAAAGTAGAAAGATATTCGTGCGTATGTCAGCCACGTAAACTCTACCAGAGTACAACGACTACCGTAGATTTTAGCGGCTCGAATGTACGTTCCAACCCGCGCGTTGCGCGCCCATTTCGTCAATCACATTTCCGAGCGTTTCATGACGAAAGAGTCGAATTTAGGGGAAATTTTGCAGCTGGGTGAAATTATATCAAGAATAGTTATTGTTCCAACGATGTGTAAAGACTAAAGAGTAGACTAAAAACTAAAGACAGTTAATCGGTAAAAACTTTTTCATATAAGAAAAATATATACAATTATACGGTGTGTCTAGTTCCTTAGTGACCAACGGAAAAGTGATGGTAGGTTGGGTCAAGCTGAGAAGAAAAGTCATGTGCTATTGGGCAAAATTCACAGTAGTTATTGTGCACACAGAAAAATATTGTACAGTCAAGAAAAGTAATTACTCAGTTTATTTTATTCCGTTTAAGTAATAGTTTGCTCCAACAAAGAATATTTTCTTAATAATAGTTTTAAGATATACTTGTTACTAGTCTTAGAAAAGCTTGCCATCTTATACTCAAAGAAAGAATTTATTCTTCTTTGAAGAAAATTAGAAAACTTATGGAAGGATTCCGTGTGCTTCTTTTAATAAAGTCAGAAGAAACAAAATTGTTTTGCTTCAAATAATTCTATGTTTTTTTGTTTCAAGTACTAGACTTACTAAGAACCAGAATATGTTTTGAGTAAATACAACACTTGCGACGACATTATGATAGATTTGCGGATATATAAACTTATCAAATACTTGGAACAAATAATATTTACTTGCAGGTAGTATATATTTTTCTGTGTGTGTAATTCAAGAACGTCTGGGCGCGCGAGAGGCGGTAGGCCGGATTTCGGCAAGCAAGTAAAATAGCTTAATTGTTAGATCTCCTAGCAATGGTGAGCATCTGATAGCGAGAGATAGGCTGATCGCCGAGAACGATCCGTAAACACTTAAGTCTGTCTCAGTTGTAGACGTAAGGCAAGGCAGAGAAAAACTTAGGTCGTCTACAATAGACTCTGACGACCTAAGTTTTTCTCTACCCTGCCTTACGTCTACGACTGATCGTAAGACAGACTTAAGCGTTTACGGATCGTCCTCTGCCACCAGCCGTAGATGGACGCGCGGTATATGATCCGCGTCGGAAAAAAATTGTCACACACAGAGCGGCGAGCTTCAGAATTCCGTCGTCACTAAGGAATTAGACGTCTTGTATATGAAATATGTCCATGTATGTTTTCTTTTGTATAATCTCTGTTCGCATAGAGAAGAATACAGTAAGAGAAATGAAAAATAAAACAGTGCGATAATTTGCGCTCTTTTTTTTTAATTTAAAAAGTCAAGTTCGAGAAAGTGAGGAAAAACCGTCCATGTCCCCCTTTGGAAGGAAGTTGAATAGACTCGTGATGTATGTGAATTTTTTTTTATTAGAACGACTAGATCCGAACTCGCTGGCAAACTTTGAGAGAAAGAAAACTTGCGTGGACTGTATTTTATATATAATATATTTTTCATATGAAAAATCTTTTATAGGGTATTTATTTAATACAGCATGGTACGAGTTTTCGTGGCTGCAACAAATGCATTCGTGCAATGTCCTGCCAATGCAATTTATATTTAAGTATTATACTGATGTATGGAAAGGTTCCGAAAAACGCAATAGTCCGGCAGTATTTTTCATCAAAGTTTTATTTGAATTTTATTGGACGTCGTTCTTTTTTTTTTTAAAAGCTCTTTGATTGCGGATTTTATTCGTCGCCTTTGTAACTGTTGATTTTCAGTCGTCTAAAGTGTCTACTCTCTCTTCCTCTTATTTCCTTTATACCTTTTATATTTTTGTTTCTTAAAGATGCCTTATTGTTAAACTTAGACGTTCATGAGATATTCTAATAAATATGATTGCAACGAGATACTGGGTCCAAGGCAAACTTCTACATTTTAGAAGAAACGTGTTCCCATAAATTTGATACGAAATATTGCCGTGCTATTATTATATTGTTTTTTGGATACACATACACACACACACACACACTCACGTACGATATTCAGCAAATATTTAACATTAATAATAACGTAGGGTCGAATGAAAACGAGAATCATAAATATCTCGTGCGTTCGATCTTAAATAAAATATATAACGATAGTAATATATACATATATGTATATATATATATATATAAAATGATTATACTGTATTATTCCTGCGAAACTTTCGCCGTCCGGATAAACTTAGATTTTCATTAGAGGTAAACAACGCTGCGCGAAACTTTCGCGCAAGGTTGATCGATGTCTCGCCTAGATACCGACGACTAATAGCTGAAAATTAAATCGCGATGCTTAGCGAGCTGGCTAGTGGCTTCGCTTTCGCCGGGTGCTGACCTCGCGAGCGCAGCTCGCGTCCTAGAAACGAAGAAGAGAAGCGGTATTTTTCTACAGTAGCTCTTACACATAAATGCGCATACGCGGTTGTAGATTTAAAACGGTCCTTTACGATAAATGCACGCCACCCCCCCCCCTCTTCCCCTCCCGCGGGAACGCATCTCAGCGAGATGATCCCGTTATCTCGAATACGATCCGTACTTACGTACCTTCTCGCGTATCCTCGCGTTCCACGGGAATTTCTCATGCGTGTACCGGAGAATTCGTCGTGGATCGAATGATAGAACGGCGTTTCCGAAAAGGCAGTCGTGTACATAGATTTGTGCAATTTCGCCGAGGCGAGCTCGGCTAGGCTAGGCTAGGGTCAAATAGGGATAATCGACAAAATCGGACGGTGCGACGAGCTTCGCACGGTGAAGGGAGGGGGGGGGGAGAAAAGTTTGACGGGGTGGTTGTAAAATTATTAATAAAGACAAATGGCGGGAGCGCGCGTCTCCACCAGCGCCAGAGGACGGTCTCGACGAACGGCAGATTGCTACTAATTTTCTTCTTGAAGAGTTATCGCGTCCATTTGTCGGCGTTACATCCCTAATTGACCCTGGTTGTCTTGCGCGCGTATTAGGAAAAAATGTTAGTCGCGCATTAATTAAAGCGCTCGTAGAAATGTACGTAGAACACACGACTATTTTATCGCGAGAAGAGACTGGAGCTCCCGCTCTCTTCTTTACGAGTGCCATGCGCGCGTGTATTATATTTCGGCGCGCATACACGAGACACACACACACACACACGAACGAGCGTAAGCTAATATATTACATATATGTAATATATTGCCCGTATTACACGTAATAAAGATAACATTCTTTTGCGACGTACATTTGTGTTGCGAAATGGAATTCGTTTGAGCCTCTTCTCCACTAGGATAATCCGGCGCGGAGACAGTCGCGTTCGGAAGCGCGTTTACAGCTTTGCGCAATATTTCCCGTGTAAAATGGAAGCTGACGAACTCCGCGGGAGGCTCTCCGGCATCGCATCGTTCGTAATGAAACTCCTTCGATTGAAATTTTCCTCAGGAAAGGAATCACCGTTGAAATCGCCGAGGTCGTACTGCCCTCGGTGGGAGGGGAGAAACAAGATGTCACGGTAAGCGGCGGGATAACGCATGATGTATATAAATCGCGAGGTACTCCATCCCCTCGACGCGCTCTCCACGATGATCGAGGCGGAAGCGAGAAAGAGAGACGGCGCCTGTCGTCGGATCGAAGAAAAAGG